GGGAGAGCATGGGACCAGGGCGCTGACACAATTTGCCCAAGGTCACCTGCCAGTGCCTGAGGTGGGCCTGGAAACCAGGTCACCTGACCCTCAGACCAAGGCCGTCTCCCCTATACCCAGGGGCCTCTGCAGCCTCAGGAACCCCAGCCTTGGTGTCCCTCCCCTTGGCCCCATCAGGCCCAGCCATCTCGCCCTGCATCTGACCCTGCAGAGGTTTCCTGGATTGTGCATGATGATTCCAACGTCTGGAGACCAGGGTGAAGCCCTTAGCACATCACCTGGCACATGGCAGGTTCTCCAGAGATGCTGAAAGCATCACTTATTTTTTATTGTTGTCATACTGCAGTCCTATGTAGTGGGCAGCCTGGGAAACACAGTCCCATTTTACAGATCCAAAACCACGGCTTGAAGAGGCAAAGGGGCTGACACAAGGGCACTCTTAAGCAGCAGAGGTAGGTTTTAAGCTCACACCTTCTGATTCTCAATCTCGACGCCTTCCATTCACTAAGCCATAAATATGGGCCACACCCTGAGCCCAGCACTCTTCCACTCGCCCCTCGCCACGGCCTGAGAAGTGGGTACCATTGTCATCCATTCTACAGATGGGTGAACTGAGGCTCCACCCAACCATGTGGAACACCAGGGCCTTGCCATCTCCACCTACTTCCAGCTCTTAATGAGGGGTAAAGCCAGACATCCAGTTGTCTCCAGCCAGGGGGACATTCTCCCAAAATAATTTGTTTGAGGTTCCCACGGGGATGGAGAAATGAATTACTGCAGGTTCAATGTTCTGGCTTTGGAAAGTGCAGGGTGGGCTGGGGGGCGCCCAGATTCCAGGCAGGACACCCACCCCTGCCTCCCACATTGCACTGTGTGCTCCAGGCAGGGTTGGGGGAGGGACCTGTCCACCCCCTACAGCGTGTGTGTGCACGTGGCACCCAGATCCTGCACCTCAGACACCTCCACTGCAGCCCTTTGGGAGCTAAGGGAGGCTGAGAGGAGTCATAGTCTGTACCTCAGGCTCCCCCATGGCCCCAACCTTGACCATGCAACTACTATGTGACAGCTGTTTCTTAATTTTAATTAAGCAGCTCTGCCCTAAATCTATCCCCCTTCTAGGGAAGGGCAGAATGAGGTTTACATGTCCCCCACTGTCAGATGGCTGGGGAGAGGCACCACCAGGACTCAAGGCCACGGTCCAGTGACTCTTTTTGGAGCCCTCATTGCAGCCACACTGGATTTGAAGGTTGCCCTGCTCCCAGAAGGGCCTGATTTAACTGCAGGCTGAAGCCAGGGGCTGGGGGTGGGACGGGGGACTGGAGGGCTGGAGACCCGAGTTTCAGTCTCCCTCCGGCACCAACGTGCCAGGCACCCTCAGTTTCCCCAGATGTGGCAGTGGCAGGGGAACAGCATGATGCCCAGGTCACCCCCAGCTCCAAGAGCCTGTCAGCTCCCCGAGCTCATTCTCATGCACCTCGGCTCCCCCACGGCACAGAGCCATAGAGATGAGAACCCTGGGGCTCCCGTGAAAAGGCAGCCCCCAGGACCTCCTGACTTCCTGGGAGACCCAGAAATCTGCCCCCACCAGGTGATTCCTTAAGTGCAGTCGTGCTTGAGACTCACGGACCTAGAAGTTCCCATCCTTGCTCCCCCTCGTGACCTTGGCCCATCGCAGCACCAAGGTGCTCTGCTGCCCTGGCTCCCAGCCCTGACGCCAGTCACAGCTCTGTGCACAGTCCTCTACAGGAGTCCAGGGCCCCGGCCACTGTGGGCTAAGGCAGGGCAGGGACAGGTCTACTCTGGTCACACACGAGGACACTGAGGAGCAGAGAGACAAAGCGACTTGCCCAAGGTCACACAGCTGGCCAGGAGCAGAGCCTGGGTCTGGCGTAAGCATCCTTTTAACTTGGACTCAAACATCTGGGGGAAACCAGGGGCCCAAACAGGCCTTTGCTGCTGCATGCCTGGGACCTGAGACGGGCTAGCAAGACTCCCCACTCTCCCTAGAGTACAGTATGACCTTGGACAAGTCCCTTCCCCTGGCTGGGCCTCAGTTTCCCTCTTCTCATTGGGTCTGGGCCAGGGAACTTTAGAGCGCACAGTCTGCTTGGCTTTCTAGGTGCTGTCAATTCCATGGGGTCCTGGGATGGCAGAACTGTCTGGCTGCCTAGGACAAGGCCACGCCTGCCTGTGGAGGGCTCCGCCTTCACCCACAGGAGACCCTCTGGACCCTTTCTTGGAGCCTCACCCCCAAATCCTAAGTTCTTGTACTACTGGTGCTCAGGAAGTTGGCACCCCAAATTGGAGCTGGCCTCACCCAGGAGGGGAAAGGAGGAGAGGGTCCAGGAGGGCAGGCAGGGAGCCTGACGGCCTGGCTTCCAACCCATCTCTGACACGTTCCAGCTGTGTGACCTTGGGTAAGTGTCTTCACTTCTCTGCGCAGCTTCCGCATCTGGGGCGTGAGAATAATGAGGCTATGAGAGGCCCCACTGAAGCGACGCACGCAGAGTCATCAGCTCAGCGAATGCTAGAGGGCTCATTATCATCTACCCCTGCCCCTTGACCCGCACCTGTGCTGGGCAGGGAGAAGTGGGGTGGGGGTAGTGGGAAAACAGCGGGAAGGGACCAGCCACGGGCAGCTTTTCTGACCTTCGGTTTGAAGAGGACTTTGGAGGCTGCTGGAGGCATCCCAGGCCCCAGCTTTCTGAGACCCCACAGCCATGTGCCGGTTTTCTGGTGCCAGAGGAGGGGGTGGTGGGGCTAGTCCAGGCTCCTGGTGGTCTGGAGCTGCCTCTAGACCGGTAGCTGGTCTGCCCTGGTGGGCAGTAGCTCCCGCCCCCTCCTCTGTTTCCTTTCCAACTCCGGGCAGCCCTCTTTGCAGAACATCAATAACCCAAGATGGCCTTGCTGAGCCCAATCGTGGCTTCCTGGGAATGAAGCCTGGCCCTCCCCTTAGGCCTGTGTGGGAGCAGGTGTCCCTCTGTCCCCACAGGCAGTTCCTGAGATGCAAGCCTCTCCCCAGCGCCTAGAGAGGCACCTTCGCTCCCACGGAGGATGCCTAGCTGCTGAGGGGCAGGTGTGCGCACAGAGCACCTGCAGAGGTGCTGCATCTGTGTGCCTGGGCTGTCTTTGTACCTGTGCAATGTACATTCACCTGTGGGCACATTCCAGCAGGCTGTGTGCCTGCCAATGCCCAGACAGGCATGCAGATGGCACTCAGGACACCACATGTGTGTGCCTGTCACTTTCACAGGGGCCAGCCCTCACATGGACGCATGCCACATTTGCGGCTGCTGCAGGGCACCGCGGTGTGCAGGCCGATTCACCCACGGGCAGCCTACTGCATTCCTGTGTTGGTGCTACATGCATGTGCGGGCATGCTGCACTCCCAGGTATGAGTGTGAGTGTGTGTGTGTGTGTGTGTGTGTGTGTGCGCATGCTGCATTCGTGTATATGCTGTATTTTGCAGGTGAGCAGTGGTATTCAGGAATGTGAGCTGTATTCACATGTGCTGGGTGTATCTGAGGGCATGGGCACGCCGTATGTGTGTGTGTGATTTGAACAAATACGATGCACTACTCTATGTACTATATTTGTACATGTGCACCTGTGCAAATCTGTGGATGTATATATGCCTTGATGAGAATGGGACTGGGGGTACAAAGGTGGCTAAATAATATGGGCCATCAACCTCTTTCCTGGACCCTGCCAGCAGGGTTCCCCCAGAGCTGCAGCCCCCTCCCTGCCACTGCTCCTTCAATGAAGTTAACAGGCGGAGGCCCCCAAGGCCTGTGCCCCAAGCCCCCTCGCATTGCACATGTCAAAGCAGAATTTCTCCGGAGGGCGCCCGCCACTCCTGGAAATGCCCCAAACATCAGCTCTGCCTCCTCCCAGTGATTTGGAGAGCAATGCAGGTGAGGAAAGGAGCCCGTTCTGTGCCAGGCAAGGGGGGCTCAGAGTCACACGAAGACCCTCTGCTGGTCCAGCCTGCTGCTCACTTACCCTTCTGAAGGTCGAGCCAGGCTGGGTCTCTGGGTGGAGGCCCCCAGATCCCCGGGGCTCTTGCCTGACTGGGGCAGTCCAGCCACAGAGACCCCTTGCCACGTGACCTGGGTGAGCAGAGGACAGCCGTGGTGTGGAACGGCCACTTGGCTAGAAAGAGTGGCTGCCCATAGCAGCCCACCCTTGGGGAGTGCAGAGGCCCCTTGCTGGATTTCCCAATCTTGACCCTGCCAGGGAGCAGGGAGGAGCCCCAGGTGCCTAGGGCTCAGCCAGAGGCCACCGAGGCTGGCAGAGGAACGGGGCTTTGGGGAGAAAGTGCCAACTCCACCACCCAGCATGACCGCTACACAATGGCCCGGCCACCCCGCTCCTGCCCCTCTCCTGGCCATCTCAGGGACCGGGGGACTTATCCATGCCACCACACACCCTGGCTGGCCTGACCCGGTGGCCCGGGGCACACAGCAGCCCACCCCACCAAGGGGACCCTCCATGGGGGCATCCCTCTGCCTCTTTCCTGGGACTCTGGCCGCAGTGGGCAGGGGGCACCCTCTGGTCCTCTGTTTCCCTGGGACGCAGCTCAGAGGGAAAAGAACCTTGCCCCACACTGTCGGCTGGCCGGCCCTTGCGTAACATCCATTAGGGGCATTTGCTGTCCAGAGGCTGCCGGAATCTGCCTGAGATCCCGGGTATCCGCCTGTCCGAGGCCCCCCTGCCCGTGTCCCCAGCGCCCCAGCCCTCCCCCCAACACACGGACCCTCACACTAGTGCCTCCCTCAGCGGCGGCTCCCAATGCAGCCTCAGCTGCTGTCAGATAAACAAGCCCGGCTCCCCCCCCCCCCCGCCCCCCCCACCCCCTGCTGCCGCCGCCGCCACCACCATCAGCGCTGAAAAAAACCAAATGAAATGAAACAAAATAAAATGGGTGAGGGAGGAAGGGGAGAGCGGAGTGGGGCGCTTTTTATTTTTTATTTCTCATGCTGGGGGATGCCGGTACTTACTTGGCTATGAAAATCGCCACAAATCCGGCACGGTTTCCAGGCGGGCAGCCCCGTAATCTCGGTGCGGCAGCTGGTGCCGCGGCTGAGCCCAGCCAGTGTGCCCGGGTCCCTCTGCAGACTGTACCATCCTGCCCGAGGAGGGGGGGGGGCGGGGGGGGGGGGGCGCCGGCGCCGGCTTCTAGGAGAGCATCTCGCCCGGCAAAATGCAGTCCCCGGGGAGGCAGAGGCCGCTGCGCTGCTGGAGGCGGGGGGAGGGGGCAGGAGGACGAGGGAGGGACGCGGGGAGGCCTCATTCTGGTGGGGGGACTGGGGGAGGAGAGTGGGGGGCGTGGGGGCGTGGACCGAACCACCACGGTGTTGTTTGCGGTTTTAATTCTTCCCGTGGGATCATGAGGAACTGAAGCTGGCGGAGTCCCAGGAATACGCCCGCTCCCCCGAAGTAGGAGGGAATGTCAAGGGCATGGTGAGGGTAGGCTTGGGGCTGCGCTGGAGGGGAGGGGGGGTCCTTCGAGTAGTGGAGTGGGGGTCAGTGAAAGAGAGAAGAGGATTTTGCTCAAATGGCCCTAAGTCTTCCTTTACTTTCTGGGGGACCCATTCGGCTGGGCAGGGGCTCTGGTGCCCCTTCTTTTTGATCAGGACACCCCCAGACCTAGGGGGCAAAGGTCACATGAGGAGCAGTGGACTCAACACAGTCTAAACACAACTGTGGTTGCAGGATCGACGGAGCAGAGCCTGCAGCGAACTCCCTGCTGCCGTGGAAGCACAACCCCTGAACCCCTGCAGCCCCAGGGTTGGACTGTGTGCAGCCCCATCTGCCTGGGGGTTGCAGGTCTGCAGAGGACCCCCTCAAGAGGCCATTTCTCTACTCACGGGTGCCCACTGCGTATGCCTCGCACATCTACAGAATTTGCAGGGACATCTGTGGTGAGTTGCCAGGGGCTGGTGATGTCCAGAGGACCCTAGGGACCCCCAACAAGGAGTCTGCAGGAATGGGATTCCCCCACCCAGCTGCCTGCTCCTTCCTGCCTCATCTCTGGCAGACCTGCTGCCTCTTTAAATCCAGCCAGGTGGGAGGACAGCCCCAGGAACAAGGGGAGGAGGTCACAGTGGGTGAAGGGGCTCCTCTCAGATTCAGGAGGCTCCCCTCCACTGCCGTGCCCCCTCCAGGAGGGTTGCCCTGCTTGGCAGGAGGGCACTGAAGGTGGAAGGACCTTCAGGAGTATCTTGGGGCACCTGTCCGCGTGGAGGGGGTGTGTGAGGGCTAGGGGGTGCCCCAGGAGGGAGTTCCAGACTAGAGCTGCCTCCTTCCACTGCCCCCACCCCCTGACCACTTCTAAGCTGCCCGCCCAAGCGAGCGTCCCAAGCTGCCACTCCATCCCTGGGCTGGCACAGAATATCAATTTGTCTCGTTAAGCTGAAAGTCTGCACTGCACCAAAATCAGAACCTGGCCGGGCAGAGGGGCCACAGGAGGCATAGAGCCGGGAGCGCCAGTGGCAGGGCCCCTGTCAACAAGGCCACGCTGATACCCCCTTGCCCTTCATCCCCCTAACCCCACTAAGGGGTCCCCTTCTGTCTCTGGGCCAGGCAGAGTGAGATGCAGGGAGGCTGCTGAGAAGCTTAGGGTGCTGGGCACTGGGTGGCCCTGGGCTCCAGTAGGGCAGGCAGGGAAGGCACCAGGCTGGGTTCCGAGGGAGCAGCCCAGGACACCACTTAGGGAGGCTTTCATCCTCTACCGATAGCCTGCGACAGGGACCTCCCACCTTGGCCCCTTCTTGGGGGTGCAGACGGGGGACTCCACTGGCCCCTCTCCAGTCAGACTTCTAAGACAAACTCTACTTCAGGAGGGGCCAGGCCAGCCTCTGCCCTCCAACACGGGGCCAAGTAAAAGTGTCGGAGACACTGGGGTGAGGGTGAGCACAGACCGGCAGAAGGGAAAGGACCACTCCAGCTCCCATCTGTTGGAGCAACTGTCTGGGCCAGGAATCCCACCGTCATTACCGTGACATTAATGGGGGCAAAACCCTTTCCCTGTGATTACAAAACAAACAGTCCCACCAGGGGCCGGTTATGAGCTACCATCTCAGCAATGACAATCCTGTCCATGTCCGGCACACTTTTGTTCACAAAGGCCACCTGCAGAACAGTAAATCGCTTGCTTCTCACAAGTACTGCTGGAATGGCTGCTGTGAGCACCCATGTTACAGATTAGGAATCTGTGTGTGGCTCAGAGGCGTGTGGTGGCCAGCACAAAGTCCCTTGGTTGGGAAGGGGTAAACTGAACCTGTGACCCAAGCCTGAGGACTCCAAGCCCAGGGATCCCTACATGTGAAGGCCAGCATGGCACAGGCCGCCTGGGGGCCCCAGTACTCATCCACTTGGCAGTTCTAAGTCCTGCCTGCTCACTAGCCCCTGTGAGGGGTGGGCTGGGCCTTCACCAACAGACACCAAACTCTCAGGAGCTTATGGATTTTGGTTCTCAGGATGTAAGACTAACACGGCACCTGGCTAAGCTCCCAGCTTCTTGGCATTTCAGGCCTGTGTACTTCAGCCTCTGCATCCATACCCCAAGTACAGGATATTCCCTAACTTTTGAGGCAGTCCAAACGTTAAATAGCAGAGTTTGGAAGTTTTTTCTTATGTTAGGCCTATGAACTCCTACTCATCCTTCAAAGTCCAGCTCAAATGCCCCTTCCTTGGACAGTCCTTCCTGATTCCAGCAACAGAACTAGTTCATAACTCTGGCCCAGCTCTGATCACAACATATTGTGATGGTTTCACATCTGTCTCCCTCATTGGGCTGTGACCACATCAACTCTGTCTCCAGAGTCCCAGCTCCCAGCTCCCAGCACGTAGTGGGTGCCGCAATAAAGGCTTGAATGAAATCTGCTGCTATGTGATTTTAAGTTCAAATACCAGAACTAGAAAGACTCTTATCCAGTTCTTCCATTTTATAGTGGAGCAAACTGAGGCCTCAAGAAAAGAATGTAAGTGGCTTGCCAAGGTCATCCTTGAGGGTCGAATCTGGCCACAGATATTCGTCCCCTGCCCTGCCCCCTTTGCCTCCCCTTCCTGCAGCAGACACACCTGGGGCATCTGGCCTGTCCTTCCAGGATATGTTGGGGGCAGGAGGTACTGGACAGGCAGAGGTGTTGTGAAATCAGACAAACAATGGCCCAGTGTCGCAACTCTGGGAAGGTTGGAAACGACAGGTCAGGGTCCCTCACAGGGAAGAGGGGGAGAGAGGCAGGAGGCCAGCCAGGAGGATTACCCACAGCTTCTGCCTCCAGCATGATCTGGCTTATGGTGGACATGGCTGGAGGGTCAGGGTTGGGGGAAGATATGAGAAATAGGGCAGGGGTGAGGGGAGAGCCGGTCCAGTCATATTTCAAACAGTGTTTAGTTGCCCAGTTTTCTCCCCTTGGGGCAGATCCTGGGGCCGGAGAGAGAGGGGGAGTAGAGAGGGTCAGTCCACCCAGGCATGAGGGTGGGGAGCCTGGCCCCAGCTGATGGAGGCATTTTGCATAAGGGAGACTGATGAGGTAGGTCCAGACAGGTCTGAGGCAGGCAGAATGGAAAGCAATCCGAGGCCAGCTGTGTCCTCTCTAGATGCGGGCCCTCTGGGGCTTTTCCCCCTTGAGGGGAAGCAGGAACGAAGGCTATACCTGCCCTCACCTTGCCCAGCTCAGGGTCTTCTGGAGCCGGGCCGGGGGTCCTGGGGCAGCTGCCGTCACAGTGAGCTGCTGGCCGGGCCTCTCAGGGGATGAGAAGCTATTTCCAAAGGCCCCTCCCATCCCTGCCTTGTCTGACTTCCACTCATCACTCACGGAGAGATCGGGCTTCTTCCCATTTTGCAGGAGAAAATTGAGGCCTGGAGATTTTGAACAACTTGCTTAGGAATTACAGGGCCAGTGAGGACCAGCGAGGGCCAGAGCTGAGATTTGAGCCCAGATCTGTCCCACTCGAGCTTTAGGCTCTTCCCTTTGTCCTTGCCTCAAGCCACCCAACTCTGAGGCCCATGACTCAGGCTCTCCTAGGCCCATGACCTCGAGGGGCCACGGAATGTCTAGGGGGCTATGTGGCCCAGCTTGTCCTAAGTCTTTCCTCTACCACATTGGGGTCCTATACCCACTCCCACCGAAGTCCAAAAGTCCTTCAAGACAACCTGATCTTGGGCTGAGACAAGACAGCCCAGGTTTGCGGTCAGACAAACCTGGGTTCAAATCCTGGCTCCTTCATTTACCAGCTATGTGACTTTGGGCAAATGACTCAACCTCCCTGAGTCCCAGTTTTCCCATCTGCAAAGTGGGGACAGTAATACCTATTTGGCAGGTTTGCTAGAGGAGGATGGCAGTGGTTATTCATAGAAAAAACATAGGGGTGAACTTCTTCCGAAGGCCCCTGGGAAAGGTTGGGGGAGTGGGCCTCTCCCAGCCTCTCATCCCGCTGGCTTGTAATGGTTCTCAGATACCACCAGTGGGGCCTAGGCAGGGCTGGTCTCTAGGACTCTGAAGGCCCAGACAGCTCTGCTGAGACTCGAACCCAGGTCCCCGATTCCCAGCTCCTCCCACTGGGTCTTGCTCCCTCAGGAAGGAGGGTACAGGCCTGACCCCTGGCTAACTCCAGCTGCCATTCACATCGACATCCTACCGTGTGTCTCATGTGGTGTGAGCGTCACAAAATCCTGGGAGGTAGGTCCTATTTTTACCCTTCCCCCCCACCATTTTACAGATGAGGAAACTGAGGTACAGAGAGGTGAAATGATGTTGCCCAAGGTCATAGAGTAGGGGAACCGGGGCCTAAAACCAGGGCTGCGCGAGGCCCCACGCTGAGTCCAGGGACTGTCGGAGGCAGGCATAAGCCTGGGTCCAGGGAGCCACGGGGGACCTCGATTTCCCACAGATCAGAAAACCTCAGCCCAGAGGGCCCACCCCAATCCTCCAGCGGGGCGGGGCAGGTATGTGGCTATGGCTGACTTGCCACCTCTCTGCGAGGGCAGGAATAGGGGCCAATTAGGGAGCAGGCACTTTCCCACCTGGCAGAACACAGAGCCTAGTGAGTCAAGAGCTACTCTGGGAGGACTCCCTGGGGGAGGCTGCC